AGTTTAAATGGGCCTTTCATGTTATATCATTAAATTTAGTAATACTATTTCTCGGGCATTAGGTTTTAACTCTTATAAGAATATACATATTTTTTTCTGTTAATGTACAAATATTTTTCCGATGTGTTTTGGATATTCCTTCTCTAATAAAAAGAGATACCATTTTGTTTTCGTTTGCATAAGAAAGAATATCAAGCATTTTTCTTTTTTAAATATAATTAGCCACAATAAAGAAGGAACGTTGCAATGCTACGTGCTACATTAACGACGTCTCTAGAGTAACTGAATGACTGTTTATATAGAAATCGCAGGTATTAGTCTCATACAACAACGCCCCCTATAGTTCGTTGCGATCGCGAATTTTTTTTGTTACATTTATGCAAATATTTTATCTTGTTTAATTTGGGTGTGGGGATTTTATGCCTGAAATTAGTTTTGCTCCTAAGGGCGCTTTTCATTACACTACATGATACCGATAAAATCGGGCAACAAATGTGCGAACGGCATTGTTCGTTGCCAGATTGTTTAAGCAATTTTTTTTGAAGTTATACTTCTTATGCGACTTCCAACAAGGTTGCGTTAAATCTTTAACGTTACATTTTTATTGGCCGGGAAATCACGTGGTAGGATCCAGTTTTCCCTCATTCATTTCCATATTGTTCTGATTCTCACAAGCATAAAAATAATAAAGTCATAAAAGAATTGTTTTTCTATAAATATTTTTTTAGTTTGTTTAGATACACATATAATTAAATGGGGTAGTATTTTTTATTTTCAAATTTAGTGGATAACAATTGTAAAAAATGAGTAAGAACAATCCCACGGACAATGCGACGGATTTAAGGTTATGTCAAGGTACGTCTCTTGTGAATATCAATTGATTGTTAGGTTTTCTCTTCTGAAATTTCATTATGACGCATTCACATACATTATTAATACAAATAAATTTTCCAGGTCGAGACGATGAGGCAACCACAAGCACTTCCACTGGTTCAAAAGGGAAAAATGCACAATATTACCGTGATTACAGAGCACGAAAGCGAGCGGAGGAGGAAAAAGAGTCGTTGAATAGAACTAGTAATCCTTCTACGACTGCTCATTCTTCTACAATTGGGTATAATATAGCCTACGTCACAGGTTGTGTTGTTCCTACTAAATTTAACCCATGAACGGCATTGTCTGCGAGCCTAACTTCAAGCCACAAATAAACAAACGAAGTGTTCGATCGTTTAAATAGCTGCTCGCCAGATTTTATTGCATTATAAAGAAAAGTTATTGAAACTAAATACAACTAAATAAACAACAACAACTAAAACAAATAACAACAACTACTAATAACAAAAACTAAATAAACAACAACTAAATTCCATTCGTTTAGCATTGCGTCATATGTTGTTCCTACTAAATCGAAGTAGTTGTGTTTTTTTCATATTATACCCAATTAACGTCGCAGGTTGCGAAGTTTAACTTCTTCCGAGCGGAGGGACACCACGCACTATTTTTTTTCACTTGTCCAATATCGTTCGTCCGAGAAGTAGAAATTCTTGTTCATTCAATGTTTTGAACTTGAGTGAGCAGTTGTTTGTTTACGTTCTGCTGCGATTTCTTTTAGCAAACGCTTTTTCTTTAAATCGAATTAAAATATCGATTTAATTTAGAATAATCATTTTAGATGGTTTTTTAAATGAGTTTTATCAAATTTATCTTTTGAAGCCATTCTATCATGCTTCAAAAAATGCTTCAGTTGAATCAGGGAACAGGCTTTTGATTATTCAATCAAGCAGAAAACAGAAGTTAGATCGAATTCTGTTTGAAATACATACGGGTCTTTATTTGACTTTTTATCAAACCACTATTACTATTTATATATTATTTTTTTATTAAAGCATATGATGGATTTATAAAAATTTTCAACAAATCTTTTATGATTGTTTAAGTCTTTCAACCTCATTATAATGTAAAAAATGCAACATCATAAAATTAAAAATATATAACCAGACATGAGAAGGAATTATATAAAACTTTTATTTCCGTGTTTATTTTTAGAGTTTAATTTTTTTTTCAAATACATGAAAAATGAAAGACAGCTATTTTTAAGATGTGCAACAACAAATAAAATCGGCACGATTTGAGGAGAAACGTGCGTGCTTAACCGATATTCGATTGCGATAAACGATATCGCCTTGTCGGATACGACATAATCGCTATCGTATCGGCGAGTGAAAATGCGCTCTGTTTTTAACCATGTATTTTACTTGACCTTATGTCGTTCGCCGACAATCGGATCTGTTTCGTCGGTATCATGTCGTATAATGAAAAAGAGCTCTAAAGCTGCATATTCTTTCTAAAGAACATTTTTAGTCTACTTTTTGTCGAATTGTGCAGGTTCAAAAATGTTATATATAACACGGGGTCACATAAATGTTGTGACAGACTTCCAGGGATTGAGTCAGTATTACAATTGCATAGAAACCCATGCTTGGAAACGTCACCGTACGCAGCTATTGGTGCGTTCTTAATAGGATCTGTTTAGAAACACACAAAGAAACAGTTCTTAAGAGGGAAGCACCTTTAGCGGCGTAAGACGATGTTTCCGGGGTATGGGTTTCCATGCAATTTTAATCATAATGATGTACCCTAACTCCCCTAGAAGTTTGTCACAACATTTATGTGATCCCCTGCTCTATATGACGTTTTTAAACTTGTACATTTGAACAAAAATAGACTAAAAATGTATATCTTAAAATAAATCTGCAGCAGGAGAGAAAAATCAATTGCAGATTTGAAGTCAGTGATATGAGAGGATGTGAAATCCGTAAAAATATCTCATGCAACAGAAAAAAAGTTTATTGTCTATTACCCCGAATTCAAAATATTCCTAACATTGTCTATATATCCGAAATTCAAGAGAGGTAAATATTAATTGTGTTATAATTTCAGGAGTTACTGTTAGAATACCTACCTACATTATCGAACTATTTTCAATTCTAGCACTTCAGTGTCTTTTTCTTATAAATCAGCATCTTAAAAATTCATGCCAATTTCTTTTAGTTAATAAAAATGTCACTTTACGATCAATACTATCTTATTTATCAAAATTTCAGCTTTCTTATTTAATGCCATCTTAAATCTTCATGTCAACTCCTTTAAGTTAAAATAAAAAGTTAGTTTTTACGTTAAGATTAATATAATCTTACTTTTTAACATCTTAGCTTTCTGATTTATCAACTTTCTTATTCATCAGTATCTTAAATCTTCATGTTCAATTCTTTTTTAGTAAAACAAAAAACTCTGTTCTTATGATAACGTTAATACAATCTTAACTAAAATAAAATTCTTTCTCAGTTTTTCAGCTTTTTACTGATAGTAAATAATGCGTACTTGTCATCATTGATAATAAATAATGCGCATTCGAGATTAGAAATCGTTGAGTTTGAAGTAATATTTCTTTTTACTCTTTTACAGATTTGTGGCAGTCACTCACCCATTACGTCCTCGAATGACCAAAACTTTGGCATTAATCATCATTTTCAGTATTTGGACTCTCAGCTCTCTTTTATCTATACCATCCATATTGTACGCAACCACCATCACGTACAAATACGCAGATCAGGGACAGCGGACCCTCTGTTATTTGGTGTGGCCTGATAACACCTCTGGCAAGTCGTATGCGGATCATGTGTAATAATTTCTTTCCCCCTTTACTTTATTTGATGATTTAAATACACTGGTGGACAAAATTAAGAGATGGAAGACATTTTCCCAAATATCTCAAAAAATACTGAATATAAATAAATGAAATTTGGTATGGATAAAGCTTATTCCATGATAATAAAGTATGAAAAACAAAAATGAAAGTGCCATTCACTGGCAAGACCTATTGTCAATAAATCCAATGTAGTCTGAACTTAAGGATAAAAGATGACAATAAAAGTAAGGTGTGATGCCACACATATTTATTTTCTATCGTTTTAAAATATCTTTGATTTCTTAAGCTGATTTTTTATTAATAGAATTACATTTAAAAATAAATCACAAACTTAATCTTTTTAAACGAACATAAAATATTTATTTCTTCTCTTCTAGATTAATGTAACGGATACCTTTTTTATTTCATTACTAATGCAGACTTATATATTCACTGTCGCCTTTAATCGAAAACAAAAATCTATTTATAACTTTTTATTCTAATTTTCCAACGGCTAAATGTTTCGGTTGCATGGTTGTAATAATTCACATAAATTTGTTGGCGACTCGTGATCGCCAAGGTATTATTTTAACTCTATATTGATATGCTGGTTGGCCTTGTTTTGGCTATGCTATATTTTAATAAATCGCCAATTTTGGATCTCCTACCAATGCTTCGGTGTCCAAAACTACTTTTACTTTTTAATTTGGCATTTGACTAGGCAGGTCGTGGGGATTGTCTCCCATGGCCTGACCTATTTTAATATTACTATGCAAAACTGATTCAACTGAAATTTATGGATAATATTTAGTTTTGTATCTCGAGCTCTACAAATACTATACTACTAAATAAAAGCTTTTTTTATTAATTCTAATCCGGCTCAACTATTGTTTTCATCATCCCCTGTTTATCATCACCATCTGCAATTGGTCAAAATATCTACAACTACTCCCAACAACCTGAGATTTCCATATCTCAACATAAATTGACCCTTTGGAAGAATTCTATCTTCAAAAAAAATGGTGCCTAGCTACAAGGAGCGAAATTGGGTTATAAACGCAAAGTTAAAAATCATCGAATCTTCAATTCTTCATTCTTTTAATCTTTACGGCTACTTCATACTGGAGGAGAATGCTATGCTTAGCGGAGAATTTGCAATGCTGCGAATGGAATTGGAATTATGGAATTGGATGAATCTTGACTGTGGAATGGTTTACGATGCTCTATTTCGTCTGATGTTCGACATTCCCCCTCCTACGCTACTCGAAAGAAATATCTATTAATTTATGATTCATCATAAAGAAGAAACTAAATTTGTGTTTCCTTCAACTCTCGTCTTGCTTTTGATTTCGTTTTCATCAGGATTTCATCGAACAGTCATCCGTTACGTATCCTTTCAATTATTTATATTTTATGTTTACAACATTTAATTGAATTTAAAATTTTTGTATGACAAATTGATAGAGCATTTGACTTAAAATTTTTTTTAGGAAGAAGGAATATTCTTCAGTGTGCCAATTTTAGAAGAAAGATATTATTTCCAGTGTGGATGGAGGTTGTATTTGTATGGTGTACAAGTTGAAGATTATTGGCAAATTGAAGATTGATGCAGAAATCAGGAGGGTGATGAAAATAATAGTTGAACTGGATCATATTTAATAAAAAGCTTTTATTTAGTAGTATATTTGCAGAGCTCGAGTTACAAAATATCATTCATAAGAATTTCAGTTTAATAAGTTTTGCATAGTAATATTAAAATAGGTCAGGCCATGGGAGACAAATCCCCCACAACCTGCCTAATCAAAAGCCAAATTAAAAAGTACGTGTAATTTGTTCCAATCGGACACAGGAGAAGCATGGGATGGAGATCCAAAATTGGCGAATTATCATAGTATATCATAGCCAAAACAAAGCCAACCAGCCTATCAACATGGGTTTAAAAGAACACCTTGGCGATCACGAGTCGCCAACAAATTTATGTGAATTATTATAACCATGCAACCGAAACATTTAACTGTTGGAAAATTAGAATAAAAAGTTATAAATAGATTTTTGTTTTCGATTAAAGGCGACAGTGAATATATAAGTCTGCATTAGTAATGAAATAAAAAAGGTATCCGTTACATTAATCTAGAAGAGAAGAAATAAATATTTTATGTTCGTTTAAAAAGATTAAGTTTGTGATTTATTTTTAAATGTAATTCTATTAATAAAAAATCAGCTTAAGAAATCAAAGATATTTTAAAAGGATAGAAAATAAATATGTGTATGCCAATTGTGGCATCACATGAGGCTTGTACAGTGTGTGTTGCCTCTAGTATGGTGTATGGTCACCCCTAACAGACAGACATCATGCACAACGAGTATGCATGCTGTTAATAAGGGAGTTAAGGAGGACTTGTGGAGGACCCTCCCATTCTTCCACCAGAGCATTTTTTAACTCCAGAATGGTTCTGGGGGTAGGTTGGCGCATCGCAATAACTCTCCCAAGAGCATCCCAAGCATGTTCAATAGGATTCAGGTCGGGGGATTCGGCTGGCCAATTCATTCGTTGAATTTCCTCGCTTTCCAGATACTCATCAACCATGAGAGCTCTGTGTGGTCGCGCATTGTCGTCCATAAAAATGAACTCAAGACCAACAGTGCCCCTGAAAAGACGCACATAGGGCTCTAGGATCTCCTGCCTTTACCTCTGGGCATTCACGGAACCATTGTCAAACACATGGAACGGTGTGCGGGCATGTGCGAATGAATGTGCGAAAATGCTTTCCATTTCTTAATTTTATCCACCAGTGAATGATTTTGAAAAGTGAAGAAAACTAATTCATTTTTCTTTTTATTTACACTCAAAGTTAACTTATTTAATTTTAATTATGTAAATAAATATAGTTTTTCATTGGTTGGATATTTAATATTCTAATATCTGGATATTTATTACAAAATTGCGAAAAGGAAAGGAAAAATATAATGTACTTTCCGAGTAAAATTAAACACACCTTAGTGGTTTTAGGGATTTACATTAGCTCAAGAATATTCTTATTATAAAAGGTATCAAGACAAAAAGGTTTTAACTCACGATGAGACGAAGAGTAAAAAATGGGAATCAATTAATTTGACATTGTTTAAAAACTTAAGATTTTATATATATATATATATTAATATATATATGAGATTCGAAAAGAAAACCTAATTAGAAACATAATTAAAATAAATTACTCGAAATTGATATTTATACAATAATATCAATATTTTCCGAGGATTCAGTGAAAAATTTGATACAGCATATCGGAGCGAGTTTTTTTTTATAGATTGCTGAAAATTTTTTTTTTTACTATGAAGTGCTTCCAAAAGTCTTAAGAAACGTGAAAATCTTTTCCTTGAGATACGTTATATATATATATATATAATAATAATAATAATAATTTGCCTTCAAAAGATAGATAATTCAAGAGACTTTGGCTAACTTAAATAAATGTTGTTGTTGGCTGCTGCTGTTGTTGTTGTAGTTCATTCACGTCGCACTAGAGCTGCACAATGGGATATTGGCGACGGTCTGGGAAACATCCCTGAGGATGATCCGAAGACATGCCATCACAATTTTGATCCTCTGCTGAGGGGATGACACCCCTGCTTTGGTAGCCCGACGATCTGCACGCGAAGTCGAGCACTTTACGGTAGAACAGTTTAACGAGGACCAATACCGCACACCCTCGGCCCCTACACAGACTGATCCAAGTGGTTACCCTCCCGCACACTGACCGCAACCAGTGATGGTTGACTTCGGTGATCTGCTGGGAACCGTGCCTTAACGATCAGTCCACTGCGGGACTGTTGTTGTTAGCATATGCTTGTTGGGGCAGAGGGGTGCGATTGTTCTTGTTTTCCAGAGGCGCCATCTATGACCAAGAATTCGACTTCTGCCACAGCCATACGTCACACCGTTTATAGGGTTTGACCCATTCATACATCCAATCATTCATCCATAGATCGTAATTTTGACTTGAATCAGAGAACGATCAATCTCCAATTCAGTACCCCCAGAGGTATTGATTTGTTATGGGAACATGGAGGACTTTGCAAGTCGATAGATTTAACGTGCATCAGTCACCATTTTACTACACGGGGAGTCTTTGGCCGGCGGGGTTCGAACCCACGAACTCTCGAACATTGGTCCGGCGCCCTACCGACCAGGCTATAAATGCCTAGATTTTGGAATATAAAATACCTAACCCATAAAAAGCTTAATTTACTTACATAATTAACTCTAAATAACTCGTGGGGGTGTAAACAAAAATAAGAATGGATTCATTTTGTCACTGTTTTTTTGATTTTCGAAATCACTCTTATGATTTTGAAGACGTTTCACTTGTTTACACATAAAAAATTTAAAAATTGAATGTTATGTAATTTTGCTTGCTTTTTTGTAAAAACCAGAAAGATTGACTTCATTAAAACTCAATAAAAATAATCCTTGACAAATAATCTTTAATTTTAAAATATATTAATGTTAAAAACATTTGGCATTTAATGAGACTAATTTTCATAATAATTTCCTCATCAAGTAACTAAACAGCAGCTTCGTTGAAAAAATTCGTTAATTAATATAGATTAAGACTTCTAATGCCGGAACAAAATATTTTCAACGCTTAAATTACGTAAGTAAAGTCTTTATTACAGTGAATGCATAACAGACATCAATTTTTCTCTCTTTTTTTAAGCTTCAAGCTTTATTTTAAATTTTTTCCTCTTAACTAACTTTATCATAAATGTTGTTGAAAATTAGAAAAAAAAGTTTTTGCAATGCATTATTTCAAATTCCAGTCATGAAATAAAATCCACTAGACACGAGTAACTTGCCATTTATTTGTCATAAATTGTTCGAAAGAATTGATGTATCAAATTTCTTCACTTTTCTTTTAATTTTTCATTCCAATTTAAAATTCTTAACGAAAGTAAAACCAGTTATATATTTTCATCGACAATTGCTTTGTGTAAGAATATAAACAGAAAAAAGAATCATTAAATATAACCAGTAAAAAATTGTATTAAATATTCTTCAATATATTCGTTGCTGAGTTTCGGGAAGATATTCTAGTCATACAAATAATAACTATTCTATAAATAGTTATGTAGTAAAAATAACGTTTCTTCTTTAGAATTTTTGAGTTTAACTAGTAGTAATAACATTAATATTTTATACAATATAGCAATATTTTTTGAAAATATTTTGTCACTGAAATATTTTAAAAACGTATGATTTACAGCAAGTTTTATTTGTAACTATACAAAGAAGAAAAGTATTTAAATTGTCTTAAACATAAATTTCAAATTGAATCTATCTTTTAGGTTATATATATGTTATATGTTCTTCTTGATACTAATTTCCAAAGCAAAAATTTTATTTTTTATTTTCGACACATTATATTTTTAAAAATTTCAAAACGAATTTATTTGAATTTCAGATACGAATTTTTTAACCTTAAAACGGGATTATTCACTCTAATTTACGTACTAAAAACTATTTTTAGGTACAATATAATCTTCCTTCTTGTCACCTATGTCATTCCAATGTGCTGCATGGCTGTTACCTACACATGGATTGGTTGCATACTTTGGAGAAGTAAAGTTATTGGAGAGAATTCAGATCCACAGAATAATGTGATCAAATCCAAACAAAGGGTAAATTAGTTTAAATTTAATTCAAAAAATAATTTTTAATGAATATGTATACGAGAATTGTAAAAATGTAATTCATTCTTCTACGATTTGAAATGAATGAATAGTATTATTCAGGAAATTTCGCTGGTTGTATTTATATTTATTTTACTATGTCTCAAAATAAAGTTAACTATGCATTTCGCTTCGCCAATTATCTTAAATATAAGCGTAAATTATGTTTTTGGCTCTAGTTTTATATCAATTGAAATGTATCATTGGATTATAAGTCACAATTTTTAATTCTTATTTTTAAAGACTGATTTTGTGAGGAAAAATATGAAGAATGGATGCTCTCACTTTTGTACGAAATATCGAGTTTTAAACGTTGTTTCATTTTCTAAAAATCAAATTATGCACAAGGCTCTTTTATGTCAATTGAATTGTATCTTTGAGCGAAAAGTTATCCAATTTTAATTTTTAAAAACAGCTTTTCCAACGAAAAATATTAACATCGGATGCTTTCACGCGCTTTAAATTGAGGAATTTTAAACGTTATTATTAAAATTTAATCTATATAATCTGTACAGATAATTTATAAAAAATAGCTTGTACCTCATACAAGCTTTAGCCATTTAAGAGATTTATGCAATAAATATTTTTTTAAAAAAATGCACATCTAGGAAAATAATGTTGTTTAAATGTAAATAAAGTAACTATAAAAATATTTTTTTTCGGATTCATATAGTTTTACTTCAATAACTTTTGTTATGAAAAAGATTCTCTATATTTTTAAAAGACTGCATCCATTTTATATTTCTTACGAAACTTTTTATGTCGCCGTTAGTCAGAATTTTACCTTCTTATATTGCGCATTTAAATTGACATACTTTAAAATTTTTGTTTTCTTTAAATCTTTACTCCCCTAATCCCCGAGAAAATAGTGTTTTCTTTTTGCATAATCGAGCGTCTTTTAGAAAGAAAATCTATCAGCTGAAAACTATTCGGTTATTACAGGTATGAAAACATGAAGTCTAGACAGTAAATTGAGAAGTTTTCTGTATTCGAAAATGAAATTTAATTTAAATGTTAGGAAACGTACAAATTTAAATCTTCTATGCTTTATAATAAAACTGTTTTATACTGCACTTGAAAATTCATTTATTTATGGTCCTGAAATAACATTCAAGAATTTCAGGCTAGAGGTAAAACTTATATTCATTGTAAGTTTTATAACAAAGGTTCTTAGCAGAAAGAAATACATTTTTCATTGTTCTGATATTTTCAAACTGTCTTATCTGTCTGTGCTATTGTAAAGAAAATACTACACTTTTGGCACAAAAAAAAGAAAGACTATTAATTTTGACATTAGAAAAATCCATTCTACCCTAGTTGTATATGTGAAAAGCAAGAAAAGAAAAAGAAATTTTTTTTATCACATTATTGGTGCATTTATAACAAATTAAAACCTCTAGAGCAGTGGTCCCCAACCTTTTGTGGACCATCACCCCCCTCTTGGGGTTGGCTGACACATATCGACCCTTTCTCTTTTTTCTAGGAAAACCTTTCATTGTTGCTTGTGAGCAACCAAACACTGAAAATATGCTATGTTATTTGATTTTAATTTAAATTGTAATGCAAATAAAGAGGCACATTTATCCAGTCATTTTTATTAATTAAAAAAATTGTGCATCTTTTTTTTTTCAAAAAAAAAAAATGATATTTAAAAGGAAATAATCACAGCAAAAGTTCATTTTTTTAAATTCTTATTTTAATGTAATCAAGAAAAAAATAAAACGTTAACAACTAAAATTTGAGAAAAAAATGAAGAGGGAGAAAGTACATTTTTACCACTTCAATGACTGGCCTGTGCTTTGGTTTATTTCAAGTTAAAGCTTGACTGTCAGGTTTTATGCTCGTCAGATTTAAACGCGGGTCTCCTTTGAAGCAAATGTCCAACCTAGCTTTGTGAGCAGCTGGAAGACAGAACTAAATCTTCTATCCACTAAATATGCTGACGTGAACGAAATGAGAAGCGGATCAGTTTATTTCAACAATTGTGGATAAGTGTGAATAAGCTTTACCCAAGCTAACTCGTAACCGTAATTTTTAAAAACAACTTAAGCCTCACAATCATACTTCAAATCTAAAATCTCAGTCTACAAAGAGGAAGTGAGCTTATCCATAACTTCAAAAGAGAAGGGATCGAAAATCCAATCCGGAATTTCTAATTTCATCAAATCTTTAAATCTTGATTCCATAACTGATCAAGGTGATCAGTAAAAATTAAGATTTTATTTTCGAGAATCTCGATATCTGCCATTGAACACTTTTTAAGAGTTGGAAATTGCATTAGCTCTTTGCGACCAATGTTTGACTTGTAGATATCAAACTTGGTGATGAATGAAGATATGATTCCCTTAGCCTTGATAATGTTCATTTTATTTCCTTGAAGTTTTGCGTTGATTTCCTTCATTTTTTCAACACTATCAGTGAGACACGCAGTTTCCAACTTGCGTTGCTTCAAACTCTCACTTAAAACAGGATCAGTGGTGTCGAGAAACTCAGTAACCGAATCCAGCAATTCGAAGAAACGGCTCAGTTTCATTTTGAAAGCCATTTCACAGCTGCATGCCGGAGCAGGAATTCGAAATCTTCATCATTTTCATGGCAAAGTTTTCGGAGCAAGCGGTTATTAGGAGAATTAGCTTTTATTTTATTGATGCCAGAAATAACCAATTTTTCTCTGCCAAAAGTTGACGATGAATGACATAATGAATGGTGAGATAACTTCCGGTACTTTTTTTTTAAGGTGACCAAGAAACCCAGTATGACAACCAGACATGGTTGGAGCACCATCTGTAGCACAAGCACTTACATTTGTGAGGGGAATTTCTTTTACCTCAAAATAATCTTTGACCAATTTAAAAATCGACGATCCTTTTGTATCTGTGTTCAAAGTTCTTGTAAACAACATTTCCTCGTTAATCTCCTTACTCTCATTTATGAATCTCACGTAAGCTAAAACAGCTTTGTTATCTATCACAGTTGATTCATCAATCTGCAACGCAAATTTACCTTCTTTCAGAAATTTGATGAGTTTTGATTCAACGTCGGCGGCCATCTCATCAATACGCCTGGAAACAGTATTATTGCTCAGAGGAACAGAGTGACTTATCAGATTGCGATACCAAAACGTATGACGAAAATGATCCTGCACTTGAATTTTTTTAAATTTTTAACTATCATAATTCTTTGTCTACACCAGAACCAAAGGTTTCATATATATTTTCAATTTCAATCTCAAATAGCTTTTATTATTAATATTATTAGCAATTTTTATATTTTGAGTACTCGTCGCCCCCTGATCACCACCCTAAGGATTATCGCCCCCTTGAGAAGCTCTATCGCCCCCTTTGGGGCGATCGCCCCCAGGTTGGGAACCACTGCTTTAGAGGTACTGGATTGGAGATCGGTCGCTCTCTGATTCAGGTTAAAATTATGATCTGTGGATGAATGAATGAGTGGACGTATGAATGGGTCAGCCCTATAAACGGGTGTGACGAATGGTACGGCAGAAGTCGAATTCTTGACCATAGATGACGCCACTGGAAAACAAGAACAATCGTACCCCCTCTGCCCAAACAGGCATACGTCAACATGGTGCATTTCTATCTCGGATGCTTTTAATAATTATTTTACTTAACAGCGTAGAGAAGCAGCTTCTATAGAAGAGATTTTTAAAGAGGAGAGCTTCTGTAGCTTCTAGTATAAAATAGTTTATTAATTCGATAACTAAAAGCTTCTATAGAATCAAAAATAATAATTTAAAAGTACAAATCACGTGATTTATCTCCGTGCTTACATATATATATTGTTTCATTTCGTTATGTTAAGTTCGTTTTGTTATTTATATTATTTAGCCGCTTATTTTTTTAAAAATTGTTTTCCACCTATTGATAACAATACACACAAATACGCAGAACCAGCAGGCATAAAGTTGTAATAAATAAATTTTTTTATAAAATATATTTCAGATATTAATAATTAAAAGAAAGAATAGCTTCAATTTTTATAAATAATAGTTATAATCAACTAAAAATAAAAATAATAAAAATTACTATTTGTAATATAAATGATAAGAAAGCTACAATTAATCAATTATTAAAAAGTTGATAAACTGTAATTTTAACACACCCAAAATTACGTTCATACTTGTTAACAAAATTAATTTTTAAAACCGAAATTATTCTCTAGTCATAATTATTACTAATGCTAATATTTATAATTATGACTAATAATCACCTCGGCAGAGGAATTTAGGGAGTTAATCTGCAGCATTTTATCTTTATAAATTCAAATTTCTCTGCGAGCCTAACATACTCACATATTTGTGTTGTGTTTAATGCAACTTGCCGAATACCAGCAAGCCTGCTTGGTGAAGGTGCAGAGGGTGCTCTTCTTGTTTTTTAGTGGCACCATCTATGACCAAGAATGTGTTTTTATCCAATCACACACAATTCACTGTCTATTTTTAAAGGCTGGACCCATTCATTCATCCACAGCTCGTTATTTTGACTTGAACCACGTAACAATCAATCTCAAATTCAGTAACCCCAGAGGTATAAATTGTTACGGGAACTTAGGGGGTTTGTAAACCGGCAGATTTAACGTGCACCAGTCACCATTTACTACAAGGGAAGTCTTCAGCCGACTGGGATTGAACTCACGTCCTACCAACCAGGCTATCCCGGCCCTTTAGTCACATCCAAAGACTGTAATTACAAATAATCAGCTGAAAGTAACTTACATGCAAGTTGTTTTATACACTGACACTAAAAAACGTAAACATTCTCCATAAAATTATGGCTGTATTCGGGTGATAGGAAAAAAAAAACGAACTCTTTACTTTTTGTTCCGCAGATTTTAATTTTACAAGAAAAAAAAGTTTAGCGTTGTTTTAAAGAGGTTCCTCAGCAATTTTTCCATATTTGTTCGTTGGCATTTTAAAAATAAAACTGGAAGTTTGATGAACAATTATCTGCATGCGCTGTAACAATCTGCAGCGCCAGTGTCGTGATTAGCAAATTAAACACAGTTGAAATATTTTATTAAGAATTATTTTTTTTATTGTTCGAAAATCTATTCAATATTTATTGCACAAAATTGTAGATCAAACGATTGAATAATTTTACTAATGACGTAATTCTTTTTGCAGGTAGTTCATATGTTGGTAGCTATAATGCTGCTTTTTGCCATTTGCTGGCTTCCGTATCACATATACTTTTTATATACATACTACAACAGCGAGGTGCTTCAAACACACGTCATTCAGCATGTCTATTTAGCTATTTATTGGTTAGCTATGTCCAATTCATGTTACAATCCCATTGTATATTACATAATGAACGCTAGGTAAGAATGTTTTTTTCATCCATTTTACTTTGTAATGATTCTAATTATATCACAAATATATAATGCTAAAAATCTTAACATGATTTATTTAAAAAACAATTTCATAACAATACGTAATTTTTTATATATTGAATTAATTAAATGCATACACAGAAATACATTAATTTAAAAATTTGTATAAAAAAAATTATTAAGGGAAAAACAATACATTATTTAAATAATTTTCAAGAAAAATCGGCGCAAAACATATTAAATCAAGAACTCAAATACGTTAACAGAAATATAGTAGAATATAAGTACAAAAACGATTAATAACAAACAGCAGAATATAAGCACAAACTGAGTACCGGGTATCAAATTAAGTACATGTGTATATGGCTAAAAGACCATCAATCAATCTAATCCGCCAGTGTGGTAGAAACTCATTAACTATGCTTACCAGACTTGAAAACAGGGATAGCAGCATGGAAGCGGGAATACTTTAGAAACCTGCATTAACAAGGGGAGTACGAATCTTGAAAATTTTCTATTAAACAAAGTGAAGCTTAAATCAAAGAATATGGTTAAAAATCTTGAACAGGGTACAAATAACCGCCAGATTGGTGCCTGGGGAAATAAGCCCTATTAAAGTTTCAGTTCATCTACTTTTAAGCTAACAAAAACCTTCCAGACGGTTCAGTTAGAGAGGTATTTGGGTGCAAGTCAAGCTTTGACGATTGTATCTTATCTCTAATTTTCTTTTTTGAAGAGGTTGGTAAATATTTAATATGTTTTCTACAATTTATAAATTATTTTATATATTAAATTATTATGTATAAAACGATTCAGTTCATATTATTTTTATTTTAAAAATTTAAATTTTAAAAAACAAAAGTTTTAATACATATTTTTTTAATTTTATTTTTTAACTGAAACAAACGGATTTTTTTTTTAAAAAAATTGTAAATTAAAATTTCCATTAAAACTTTTGTAATTTTTTAAAAATGTAAAACTTAACATAAAAATTTATCTAAAAAATTTCGTAATTTAAAATTTCAAGTAAAATATTGTACTTTTTTTTAAATAACCAGTGTAAGTTGTTTTAGAAATAAAAAAAAATTTAAATGTTTTCTTGTTTTATAAATTTTAATTCTTTTAAAAAATAATTTAAATTGAAAATTATAAATTTATTCTAAAATAATAAATAGTTATTAACCTTTTTTAGAATAGAAATTGGGGATAAAACTCAATCGTCTCAGCTTGGATGTAAACTCAATATCTCAATGGCAGAAAATGAGGTTTTCAACCATGATCTTTAATTTAAGTTTAACTTCGTTTTAAATAGGAATTTTTGAGATGCGTTCTTCCTTTATTACTTACTTGTGAGTACCACAGCTCTGAGGCTTCTGTCGGACACATTTTTTCGTCCTCTTTCTAGAAGATTTCATTACCAACCCCACTTCTTTTCCTGAACTTCTTCAAAGTCAACGACCTCATGGATCTTGACATAGCCCGGAGAAAACGCAATCACAGCTACAAATCATGTACAATGCAGGAAAAAAAATCACCTTTAATAATTTTTGATCTAATAATCGTATTTTCACGTACTGCGTCTTAATCTAAGTGGTTTGAGGGCCTGATCTTAAATATGAAAATTTAATTGTTCGAATGACATCTTGAATTACAATATTAAACCTGAAAAATGTATATTCTTTTGATAAAAATATCTTTTTCTGATAGAATTTCATTTTTGACCCTTAAAAACACGAAGTACCAGTATTTTTATTATTTTTTTTATAACCGTCGTTAAACAGTAGACTATTAGGACTATTAATGTTCATATTTGCAATTTACAACCAAATCTAGAAGACAAGGGAACTCCTGGTTCAAGTACTGGGAGAAATTTTGCCTTCAGAGGACTTTTTGATGTAACTAACCCTCATTTGTGTTACATGGAGAGGAAAGCCTCCCACGGTTAGCCAGACCGCAAAGAGACTCTACCACTGAGGATATTTTAAGCCACTACTGTTGTCGATGCAGAATTCGTATCAAACAGCCAACGCTGGGATTCGAACCCGGTTCATCTCACTGGAAGGCGAACGCTCTATCCCCTAAGACTCTCTCGCTCTGGTACTATCAATTTGGAAGATATGGTCTTAGTAGTTTATGCATAAGAGCAAATGAGATTTTGGGGCCACTTAAGATTTGTATTTTGCCATTACAAAAAAGACTTATTTTTAAACTTTCATTTCTCAAAAACTATTCATATGATTTTCTTTAAATTTGGATTTTTTTTAAATTTAAAATTCTCTAGATTAAATTGGTGTTGAAACTTAGCATACAATTCAACGTTTCCTCGCATAGTAGTAAATTAAATTAAAAAATTTTATGAAAAATTACTTTTAGCACTTAGAATAAACAAGAAGTGTTATCGTATTTAAAAGCTTACATTTGCTTCTATAATTAAGAACTTATATCAAAATACGTAAATACTTAAACTGACAGTCAAAATTTTCGATCACTCTCCTCCCCAAAGTAACGAAACTATAATTTCTAGATTTCGGCAAATCCCCCCCCCCTTTAAGAATTCATCCGAAAAAAAATATGTTTACTCTTTATTTGTAGAAAAGCACGTATTTCTGTCTGATTCTGCAAATTTAAATTTCTACCATTAAAAATTCATTTATATATTTATGGTTAGGCCCTCAAACCACAATAGATCATGAAAATATGATCATTAGATAAAAATTAACTGAAGGCGGTTACTTTTTTACAACAAACACCATAAATATTTAGAAGATTACGATGAAATAAGACACTTTCTAATGAGTATAATCAAATGAATGTAATTAAATTCATATAAATATTAAATCAACATATTAGTTTCCCTTTCATCGACTTTATCCTAAATACGATTTTTCGAGAAATTTCCCATATTTAATGCTTCAGTGCCTTGTATCACTCAAAATATTTTCATTTCAGGTTCAGGAACTATTTCAGGGAGGTCATGTGCCCATGCAAAAAGCCGTCTAAGTCACCCGGAACATCAGGTTATGCCAAAAATGGAAATTCTTATCCTTTGCTACCAAGAGCTTCAATATATACTTCTCACAGAACTCGTTCTACCAGAATTATAAACAACCACATAATGAGAGAAAGTGATCTGAATAAAACAATTAAAGAGGAAACAAACCACCTCGAAAGTTGTTAATGCCCACTTATTACTTTTTGCCTAAGAATTTACTTCATTTCGTAACAAAACCCAGCATATTAAATTCGGAAATACACTTGAACGTATGAAGAAATCTCATTAACACCACGCAATGAGGAACAAGAATATTTTTTTTAATATTTAAAACGCACCATTTTTCAAGTGTGTGTGTGTGAATCCACCTGAAAACTTTTGTATATGAATGTGGTTAATTCTCTGTTTCTTACAAGCTGCGTTGTTTATGAAGTACTTAATTTCATTCATATCAAATTTAATGTTGCTACTTTAAGATGTATTATGAAACGTAAAACATTTTCAAGAGAAAAAAAAATATTTGTATTATTTTAATAAAGTTTATGTGAGTCTTTCTGTGGAATTGAATTTTAAAATTATCGAAACAGTTATTTATGAAACTGTTTAAATTCAAAGTTATTTTTCGTTATGTTGCCATAAACTACAAATGTGCTAATGTAAACACATTATATAACTGTGTACAATAAAAGAAAAGAATCACTCTGAATAATTTTTGGTCTAATGATCGGATTTTCACGTATTAGAACTCAATATTAATGATTTCAAGGAGAGACTTCAAATATGTTAATTAACTCAGACGATATTTTAAGTTTCAATATTAGGCACAGAAACTTACTTTCTCTGAATAAACATACCTTTTTATTTTGATGGATTGAGATTTCCAACCATCAAAATTTAGGTGTCAGCTGCATTCTAAGAAATGTGGTCCCCATATTTAGTGCAGGAGAGCTGTCAAAGTTTGGCTATGTCTAACTTCTCTAAGTTACAATTTTTGAATAATTTGCCGTATTTCGAAGTTTAAGCAAATTGAGAGGTTTTTGCATACAAGCATAAAATTTACTTATATAAAGTTATTTCTATACAACACGTAGTTTTATTTTAAATAATTATTTTGTATTTATCCTTTTATTTAATTATGGTAGAAAAAATGTTGAATATTAACGTAATTTTTGTTGTTGCATCATTTAAAATAATATAAATGGCCAGATACGAAATTTGAAGGAAATCGGTAGAGTAGCTTATGAAAAATCGAATTTATAATAGTCGTATATTTAAAACTCAATTTCTCAGAATTATTACTGACCAGGTTTTAGGTCCAAGTTTTACAGAGTGCGGCTAATCCTTCAACATACAATGTAGGTTACAAATCCAAATCAATCGGGAAAAAAAGGTAATTCAGAGAAAGTACATTTTTGTAACCGACTTCGTAACTTAAAATAACTAAGTCAAAAGTTATTCTGTTTTTCCTGTGTACTGTACTTAAAACTATGCATCAAGACACGAATACTTAATAATGCTCTGAGAAACACTTAACAAACACAGTATGTTAAATAAAAATTTTCATTGGATAACATACAATCGAATTCTTTCATAAAACGACACCCAACGAAAAACTTTAAGTGCTCAATAATTTTAAAAATAATCTTAGCTAATAATTTAAAATAGTGATAAAATATCTTCAGAAATATTTTCTTTAACATTCAACTTATTGTTGATGTTGTTAATTTACGCCGCACTAGAGCTACACAATGGGCTATGGGCGACGGTTTGGGAAACATCCCGGAGGATGATCCGAAGACATGCCATCACAATTTTGATCCTCTGCGGAGGGGATGGCACCCCCGCTTCGGTAGCCCGACGACCTGCGCGCGAAGTCGAGCACTTTACGGTAGCACAGTTTAACGAGGACCAATACCGCACACCCTCGGTCCCTACGCAGACTGATCCAAGTGGTCACCCACCCGCACACTGACCGCAGCCAGTGATGCTTGGCTTCGGTGATCTGCTGGGAACCGTGTCTTAACGATCAGTCCACTGCGGGACACATTAAACTTAAATTAATACAAAGAAAAGGACAGTATTCATCATATTTGTTAAATAGTAATTGAAATGTAGTAGAATTTTATGTTATATAATTATATTTTCTTCATAGAAAAACATTACGAACTTTTATCAATATATTACCTCATTTTGTAAAACGTATTAATAATAATTAATATGAAACGATATTTTTTTTATTTGCTTAGAGCAAACATCTACTTTTTAATTATTATTTAGAAAAGAAAAGCATTTTTCTATCTTTTTATAAAAGTTTCCAAAAACAGCAATAAAAAGAAGAGCATATGACATAAAAATTTTCCGATATTTATTTTTCGTCAGTAGAACTGCTTTTTTTAAACTTTATTTTATCTCTTTACTTACGGAAAATATGGTAAATGATACGACGATGATTTCAAAAATTAAAATAGTCATTTCCAAGAAATAAAAATTTAAAATAACAACCACAAGGTAAATGAATTTGGAATGTTAATGTAAACTTCTTATTATGAAATATTTCTAGGATATTTTACTTTCTTAGTGATTATTAAGAAACCCAAAAAATTAAAAAAATTTTTTGGTTAATGGCAGGCACTTGGGTCCCATTGGCCTCAGAAATGCCAGAATTGCTTCTCTCCTATCGTTACCCAGTGAGCACCTGTGGCTAAGCCAGGGCGGTGGAGTAGCGTCTCCCACGTCATACAACCACAAACCCGTTTATGGGTCGGGTTACATCCACGCACAATCACACAGAAGAAAGGACATAGAACACGGAGAGAGAGAGAGAGAAACATCCATGTCCTGAGCGGGATTCGAACCCTCAACCGTCGGCTCCGTAGTGAGGGACGCTAACCACTCGGCCACCTGGTCGGCATTTTAAAAATTAAGAGAAATATATATTTTTTTAATTTTGAAACTTTTTGCAAAACATTTGAAACTTCATAAAAAATATCGTTTTTTCTATATCCTTACAAATTTACAATGGGAGAAAAAACACCCAGGGTAATAATTATTGAACTGTAAGAAAAAAAATCGTAAATTATTTAAAAACTCCTCAGAGCACAAACTTTATTTAACATGTAAACGTCACTACCGGTATTTTATTTTATAACCGGCACTGAAAAGCCAACCCAACTTAACTCATGTTCAAATCCATAGCCTTCGAATTTTGAACCCAATCCAGGAGACAAGGAGACTCCTGGATTAAGTATAGGGAGATATTTGCCTTCAAGGAAGGTTTTATGCCCGCATTTGCGCTACACGGAGAGGAAAACCACGAACACCGCCCACTGTTAGCCTGAAAGCAAGGGGATCCTAACGCATGATCCGTCTACCACTGAGGTTATTTTTGCGTTAGCACTGTGGTCGGTGTAAACCGTGTGCAAAATACGTATCAACCAGCCACCGCTGGGATTCGAACTAGGTTCACCTGATAGGCGAACGCTCTATCCCCTGAACCACTGCGGCTCTCACAACAGATTATCGGCTTTAGGTTATGACCCGCTAAAGCAATGATTCTGTCAATGACCTCTTGAATGGCAATCAGTTTGCAGCTGACATTTAGCTCGACATTCCCACGACATCTTCACTTGCAAATGGCCGACCCAACAAGTTTCGATGGCATGCGTATACGAATTCCCATAGTGCCTGGCAGTCAGTCACTAAGTTTGAATTTCACAGTGTAGGGGAAGTCCTGGTTTATTTGTATTTCTACCAATTCACATAAATAATGAAAGACTAGAAATTATCTAACTCTAAATATTTATTGAAAAGGACAAAACACATAAAAATAAAACAAGGATAAAAAAATACAAGAATTTGGAAGAGGGGGTTTTGGGCTCGAATTAAACATCCGTACTTAACGGCGGTTCCTGGCAGACTGTCTTAGTTCACCGCCAGAGGCGCTGTAGGGGGGGGGAAAGAGGAGAGCTTGTTACACTCCCCCTCTGGTTCCGATTAAACGTCTCGTTGAGGGACCAGCACTTTTTCGTTTTTGGCTTCTTCTGAGGGTCATCAAGGTTTTTGGGTCAGGATCAAGAGTTTTTGGTCTGCCTCGTTTACGTAAAGGTGCCACCGGCACTGCATTTTCATTAGAACATTTTTTCAATGCAGATACATGATACTGTCCTAACGGTTCATTTGGCTTATCAACGTGGGCCACTTCATACGATGTTGGGGACCTTTGGGTGAGGATGATGTACGGTCCATCTCTCTTTGGCATGAACTTGGCCGACTTTGATTTTGCAGCATTGCTCTTAGGATGCAAAGTAACCCATACTTTATCACCAGGTGCGTACTGTGGTGATTTTTGACGCTTTTGATCTGCGTAGGTCTTTCTCTGATCTTGTTTGGATTCAACTCTATCTCGGATGTCATTAGAGATATTGGCTAATCTTTTTAGGTAGGGAGTGATCTCGGGCACGAAATTATCGTTGTTGACGATGGCACGAAAATCACTCGTAACGTCATCTATGGTTCTCATTTCTCGTCCAAACATGAGAAATGATGCTGTTTCGCCAGTTGTTTCACACTTTGCACTGTTCATGGCGAATCTAATCATAGGAAGTTTTTCAGCCCAGGAAGTGTGATCTTGTCCCACAAGGATTGCAAGACGTGGCTTCAGGTCACGATTTTTGCGCTCTACAGGATTCGCCTGTGGGTGATATACTGGTGTGAGGTTCTGATCTATTTTCAAAAGGAAACACAATTGCTGCATGACAGCAGAGACGAACTGAGTTCCGTTATCACTTATTATTCTTCGAGGAATCCCATAGCGAAGAAAGATCTCTTCCACAAGAACAGTGGCGCATTCTTTAGCAGTGGCTGTAGTGAGAGAAAATAATTCTACCCACTTAGTTGAACAATCTTCCACTATAAAAACCCAGGATTTACCCTCTTTAGTTGTGGGTAATGGTCCAAAGAGATCTATTGCCAAGGTTTCAAATCGTTGACTGTATATTGGTGTCTGCAGAAGTCCACAAGGTTTTTGATTACTGGCTTTGTATCTGGCGCATTCAACACAGCTCTTAACATAGTCAGCTATGAAGGATCTCATACCAGTCCAATAGTATCGTTGATTTATTCTATTTAATGTTCCCTCTACTCCGTAGTGTCCAGCACTTGGAGCGTCATGGTGTAATTTTAAAATTTGCGCTCTTTCATGCAAGGGTACTACCAACTGTGCTTCTTCAGCATCTGAAGCAGGAGAATATCGGAATAATACGCCTTGATTCATTATATATCCTCTTTGTGTCCAATTGGAATAGTCTACTCCTTTTTCTGGATCTTCAAAACATGTAATTATTTTCTTAAGCTCTTCATCTTTCATTTGCTCCTCTCTTATTTCTTTAGGTGTTTTCTTAGGGAAGTCTACGGAAATAGTGGAAGCTTCGCAGAATACTTCATCACTTTGACATATGGGTCTTGAAAGCATGTCTGCCACATAGTTCGATTTCCCGGGGAGGTATTCTATCTTAAGATTGAACTCTTGCAGCTGCAGGGCCCATCTCGCCAGTC